GCGTGGCATGTAAAGCTTACAATACCAGTATAACGCCTTTTGGGGCGACTAACGGAGCGAGCGAGAGGGTGGGTCTTGCACGTGCGAAATTGTGAGGGGGTATCTCCAACTGACGTGTGCACAGCACCCGGTCTCCAGCGATTTGCCAAATTTGAGGACAATCGGCCCAGCCGTTCTCGAGATCTGGAAGCGGCACCCTGCACGTGCGCACGTGCAAAATGGGCCCCCAACTGACTTTTGCACTTCACCCTACTAACCGGTCCCTAACTGCGTACCAAATTTGAGCGCAATCGGTCTTGCTGTTCTCGAGATCTGGAATCGACCCCTGCACGTGCGCACGTGCAGCAGCACCCCAACTCTGGCACATGGATAATGGATATGCATTGCCTAGTGGGTGCCTACCTACATGCCAACTTCAAGCGCAATCGGCCAAGTAGTTACCGAGATATTGCAACTATTACAAAACTGACACCCCTTCGTTTTGCACGTGGCACGTGCATAAGGGGTCACCCACATGCATCGGGAATAGTCCAATACTTAGTAGAAGGAATGAAGCTACCCTACAAAAATTACCGCATGTAAATCGGCCAAGTGGTTGCTGAGATATAAGCCTCGCAAAAGCGTCCGCACGGCCGGCCGGCCGTCCGCTCATACTCAGGAATTTCCGCTAATCTAAGGAAAGACTCCGCTCGCTCGCTCGCTCCGTAACAACTCTATCCATCTTGTATAAGCGCGGTTACTGTAAGGTACGAGTACGACGTACAAATTGTATGTAGGGGAGGTTGGGGTTATTTGGCCGCTTTTTTAGAAAACGTAGGGGAGAGTGGGGTAATTTGGCCGGTGGTGTAAATTGGCCGCCCCCACCTGTACGATGTCTAATAAAAGTGAGTGAAATAACTCTAGTCTCTATTCATTTGTCATGGGTAGAAGTAACTGGAGGACAAATGTCGAAACTTTGCCCCTCGTAGTTTTATTCAAAATTAATAAAACGTTAATTTCATCAGAAAATGGTAACTTTTACTTCTGTTTATAAAGTTGTATAACATGTAGTATTTGGGCTAAAAACGAATTCAGACATTATAGCGCCATTCTTGGGGGTGTTCAGCGGTTCCAAGAGCAATTTTATCTAATTCCGTAAAGCCGCGATGACTTTATAGACAAAAAAATTCAGAATGGCAATATGGGGTAATTTGGCCGGGACTAGTGGGGCAACTTGGCCGGTGCGCTCATGGTCACTATGCTGGGACGGCCGAGTTTTCATGGTCAATTGTACCATAAATGACATGATTCATGACCAACTTTGACTAATTTGATGCCTTACTTCCGATTGGTCAACTGTAAGAGCATGTGACGTCATCAAAGGTTACCAAACGTTTTTTGCTAATAAATCCTTACATAGAAATGGTACAGCCGCACAAATGGTCTCATTCGGTTCAGCTCGCCAAGGCGCATCGAATGATATGCATGATGACCTTGAAATCACGTGACCTTGAGGTCAAGCGACCTGATGCAACGTGACCTGAGGTCAACCTTTGACCTTGACTTCTCAAGGTCAACACATATATATCTTTCGATGCGGACTGACGAGAGAATTACGATGGTACTCGAAGTTTTGGCATAGCCTGATTACTTCAAAAGTTATTCGTAAAAAACTGTGATCGCATCTAGAGCCGCTAATTTGGCTATTTTGACCCTTGTGACCTCTGAGCCAACCTCCAAAATGCGGCAAATGCGTCATAGGACACACGTCATTGCTGAATCTGAAGCTGAATCGCAATGTAACAGAAAATCCCGACCGCAAACTAACACCGACCAAATTGCCCCACACCCCCGGCCAAATAACCCTGCTAGTGGGGCAATTTGGCCGCCTTGCAGACCTTTGTAATACGTCACAATTTCAATATAAGTAATTACTCTATCATTTCAAGTTTACTGTCCAGTAAAGTAAAATGAATGCGACACCTGCCAGCGTTGAGAAAATGCAGAAATGTGTCGTCAATTTTAAGTTATATCGTTTTCTAAAAAAAGCGGCCAAATTACCCCACTCTCCCCTATCTTAAAATTGACGACACATTTCTGCATTTTCTTAACGCTGGCAGGTGTCGCATTCATTTTACTTTACTGGACAGTGAATTTGAAATGATAGAGTAATTACTTATATTGCAATTGTGACGTATTACAAAGGTCTGCAAGGCGGCCAAATTGCCCCACTAGCAAGTAGCAGGGTTATTTGGCCGGGGGTGTGGGGCAATTTGGCCGGTATTAGTTTGTAGTCGGGTTTTTTTGTTAAAGGCGACTCAGCTTCACATTCAGCAATGACGTGCGTCCTACAACGCATTTGGCGCATTTCGGAGGTTGACTCAGCGGTCAGAGAGGTCGAAAATAGTCAAAATAGCGGCTCTACATAGATGCGATCACAATTTTTTACGAATAACTTTTGAAGTAATCAAGGTAGGTCAAAAATAAAAGCAGCATCGTAATTCTCTCGTCAGTTCGCATCGAAACATATAAGTGTTGACTTCGAGAGGTCAAGGTCAAAGTTTGACTTCAGGTCACGCTACCTCAAGTCGCTTGACCTCAAGGTCACATGATTTCAAGGTCATCATGTATATCATTCGATGCGCCTTGACGAGCTGAACAAAATGAGACCATTTGCGCGGCTGTATCTTTTTTCTGTTAGGATTTATTAGCACAAAAAAAACGTTTGGTTATCTCTGATGACGTCACATGGCCTTACAGCTGTCCAATAGGAAATAAGGCATTAAGGTAGTCAAGTCAAAGTTGGTGATGAATTATGTCATTTATGGTATAATTTACCATGACAACTCGGCCGTCCCAACAAAGCGACCCTGAGCGCACCGGCCAGGTTGCCCCGCTAGTACCTACCGGCCAAATAACCCCACATTGCTATTCTGAATTTTTTTGTCTACAAAGTCGTCATGACTGCACGGAACTAAATGAAATTGCTCTTGGAACCGCTGAACATCCCCCAGAATGGCGCTATAATGTCGGAATTCGTTTACAGTCCAAATACTACATGGTTTACAACTTTTTAAGCGGATGCAAAAGTTGCCATTTTCTAATGAAATTCACGTTTTATTTATTTTGAAGAAAACTATGAGGGGGGAAGTTATAATGACATTTGTCCTCGAGTTAGTACTACCCATGAGGAATGAATAGAGGCTCGAGTTTTTTCGATTTTACCAATTTACACCACCGGCCAAATTACCCCAACCTCTCCTACCTACAAGCCTGACATGTTGTTGACTTGACAAGTTGTCGTGTTGACGTCGGCAAACTATGTGCCGCCAAAGGCTAAAATAAAAGTAGCGTTGTTCTATTGAAGACTGTACTGAGTTTTCAGCAGGACCCATCTCCATTAGCGAATACCTACCATATGTTCCTTAGTGTTACGGCTTTCATGTAAAAGGAAAAGAAATATTGTAATGGCCGAAGAAATGTGTTTATCAATTCTCGGCTATTTTTAGGTTTTATCGCCTGTTTCACACGTCTTTTCCTTTCTACTTGTTTGCATTGATTGTACCTATCAAGATATAGAGAAAATGCTGAATGTAGGGGAGAGTACCCTAATTGCGCCCGCGAGATAAATGCGCCCTCCCAAGCTCCAGAAAAATTGGCACACCATAAGTACCTAGTGGTTGTTGCAAAAGTTGCCCACCTCGATCATACTTCCTTTTCCGGTGGAACCTTGGCAGAGGTAAGGCAGCATGAGCTTAAGCAACGATTTTGTTTAAATGTTGGGGTTTCTTAGCGAAAAAAGCATTCTTCAAAGCTGTAGAATAAGGTTTAGTAAATGTTTGCACACATGTGCTGCTAATTTTTCGGACAGATGGTTAATTTCGAATGATCTGAGCACCTCCATGCAAGAGATTGTGGCTGCGGTGAATAGGGACGCCATGTTCTGTCACACCACTACGTTTTTTCAAATGCGACCGGGGTAAATGCGCCACACCCGGGCTAATGTTAATGAAATGGGTAACATTAATAATGATGGCTAATATTCGAAAGGCTTAGTAGATGACAAAACCATAAGCAATTTGAGGTCACTGTGCACTTCTAATGAAATTTCTAGAAAACAGATGGTAAATTAATGAAATAATGACACATCATCCAACGCATTACCTACTTATCACTCTTTTCTTTACAGCCCATAGCTAATGCATGTATTTGCGGTGGGCGCATTTGAATTCAAATGCGCCATGGTGTGGGCGCATTTATCGAAGGTATTCGACAATTGCGCCCTTTGCAACACTTTCTAAAAAGACCGTGTCTGGCTAATTAGTTGAAGTATGCGATAAATTAGTGTCTAAAAAAGGCAGGAAAAAGGTTTCTGAATATAATGTGAAAACAACAAACCTGTGCTGTCTTTGTATTCCAAGCTGAAGCCAGTTTCGCTTAACGTGGCGCAATATGGCCACTCTCCCCTAACCATTTGTATCATGTATGCATTTAATTTAGATAGTGGCGTTCCGCGTTCACTGCTTCTTGTGGTTCTTCCAACTAAAGTGACATTGGATTGATAAATAATTGATTACGTTTTCTCTCTCTCTCTCTCTCTCTCTCTCTCTCTCTCTCTCTCTCTCTCTCTCTCTCTCTCTCTCTCTCTCTCTCTCTCTCTTTATCTTTAAAGTTTTGATTTTTTGGTGTTGCTAATTATCCTTTTCCTTCACGGATAAGTTGGCTCTGAGTTCTGTCCATGCGCGAGTTAATAAAGGGCAAGTGAAATATTCTCTAAACGAGCTCAGCGTTCCGTTTCTGAAGGCTGTATTTCGAACGACAAGCGGATCAACTCATGGGCGCTGATGGCTTATCGCGTCAACATTGCCGCTACCGCCCATGGCGCTCACCAAGGAGACCTGGAAAGGCGACCACGAGCTGCGTGGGTCATCTCTGGGCGTCGTGATTGTTCCAGTGTATGTGCGACTTGCTTTGGCATGCAACTTGTCTAAGGGCCTTTCTTTTTTCTGTGTATTCTTCAGGCATAAGTGGCTCGATTCAATGTCCCCACTGCGACTTCCGATGCTGGGGAAAGCAACGTCTGGACGGACACGTGAAGACAAGTCACGGTCACATCGACAGGAACGGCAGATTCAAGTGCGAGTGGTGTCAATACTCGACCGACAAGCCCACAAGCATGAAACGTTGCCGAAGGACTCACACTGGGGATAGGTCGCAATGCTGCTCCATCTGCACGGTGCGGTTCACTAAACAGTCCAACCTTACCAAACACATGGCGATCCACACTGGAGAGAGGCCGTACGGCTGCTCCATCTGCACTGCAAGGTTCACTGTTCGATCAAGCCTTAAAAATCACATGCGGATCCACACTGGGGAGCAGCCATACGGCTGCTCTATCTGCTCGGCCCGGTTCACTGAACGGTCCACCTTCACCAAGCACGTGCGAACCCACACTGGGGAGAGGCCGCACGGCTGCTCTATATGCACTGCACGGTTCGCTCAACGGTCACACCTCATCACGCACATGCGTATCCACACGGGGGAGCGGCCGTACTGCTGCTCCATCTGCATGGCACGGTTCGCTCGACGAGGGAATCTCATCAAACACATGAGGACCCACACGGGGGAGCGGCCGTACGGCTGCTCACACTGCCAGGTCCGTTTCGCTAACCGGTCTCACCTCACTACACACATGCGGACCCACACTGGGGAGAGGCCGTACGGCTGCTCTATATGCACTGCACGGTTCATTGATCGATCACACCTCACCAGACACATGATGACTCACACTGGGGAGCGACCGTTCGGCTGCTCCATCTGCACGGTACGCTTCGCTGAACGGGGACACCTCAAGGCACACATGCGGACACACACTGGGGAGCGGCCGTACGGCTGCTCTATCTGCAAGGCACGGTTCACTCAAGGGACAAGTCTCACCTTACACATGCGTACTCACACGGGGGAGCGGCCGTACGGCTGCTCACACTGCCAGGCCCGGTTCGCTCAACGGGCAAAGCTTATCAGACACATGCAGACCCACACGAAGACTGGCAGCACTGCTGCGACTACTGTCTAACGGTTCAGTAGTTTGACGCAAAAACTCGATTTTAACTGGTACACAGTTTTGAGAATTACACAGGTTTGACTGATGCGGTAAATGGCTTGGTTGGCGAAATGCAATGCTGAAATATCCCGACAAGTGCATGACCGGCTGTCGTCATACGTTTGATATATTAGTGTTATACATCTTTTTACGCCCAATTTAGGGCGGCAGTGCGCACATTTCAGTAATAGTGGGGGCGATTCCGACAGTATGCCATAGTCTGTCAATGGCGATTTGTCGCAATCGGTTGCACTATTATTGAGCTGCGTCCACTATGTCTATATTTAGTCGTAAAAAGGTGTAGCTGTGGTTCTCGTTTGTGAGCTTCTTGGCTACCCGTGTGAGTGTCACATCTTGTTTCTTTATGTTAACACACGGTGATTCAGTAGTTGTGTTCTTAACTATCCGCCTCCACATAGGAGTTAAGGAGTGTCGCTGTTTGGTACAGTGTCGTAGCGCTGTGATTTGTGAATAATGTCCAGCTACTTTGAGGGACAATACATTTTTCGTGACCACCACTCATTCCTTTATTCGTAGCATTTCTGCGCGGCCTTTGTCGACAAGGCGAAGGCCGAAAGGAGATCGGCGTGGCATGTAAAGCTTACAATACCAGTATAACGCCTTTTGGGGCGACTAACGGAGCGAGCGAGAGGGTGGGCCTTGCACATGCGAAATTGTGAGGGGGTATCTCCAACTGACGTGTGCACAGCACCCTACTAACCGGTCTCCAGCGATTTGCCAAATTTGAGGACATGATCGGCCCAGCCGTTCTCGAGATCTGGAAGCGGCACCCTGCACGTGCGCACGTGCAAAATGGGTCCCAAGTGACTTTTGCACGGCACCCTACTAACCGGTCCCTAACTGCGTACCAAATTTGAGCGCAATCGGTCCTGCCGTTCTCGAGATCTGGAATCGACCCCTGCACGTGCGCACGTGCAGCAGCACCCCAACTCTGGCACATGGATAATGGATATGCATTGCCTAGTGGGTGCCTACCTACATGCCAACTTCAAGCGCAATCGGCCAAGTAGTTACCGAGATATTGCAACTATTACAAAACTGACACCCCTTCGTTTTGCACGTGGCACGTGCATAAGGGGTCACCCACATGCATCGGGAATAGTCCAATACTTAGTAGAAAGAATGAAGCTACCCTACAAAAATTACCGCATGTAAATCGGTAGAGCGTTCCCCGTCCTTTGACCTTGACCTTGACCTTGAAGGTCATGACCTAGTGACCTGGAAATCGCCGTCAACCTGCAATAAGGAACGAGGAATCGAATGAGGGCCTTTTCATCAAAATCGGTTCACTGGTTCTTGAGTTATTGCGTTCCCCGTCCGAATATCGAATTTTCAGTTTGATATTCGCGAATATCAATCTGCTGCTCAATTGATGGACGTTGATTTCGATGACCCTGAGCCTTGGGTTTCGACATTTATGACGCAGTTTTGCTGCAGTACCACGTGAGAGCACGCGTCGTGTGTTGCTAGTGATGCGCACTTCAACTTTGACTTCAACTTATTCTCATCAAGGCCATCTATAGAATTCTCATTTTGAGCGGACTCGCACAGAAAACGAGGGATCTTGTCTTGGAGATTGAGATGGATCAGCATGGTAAGTTCGGTATAATATCATCGACTCACTTTTGAAAAGTAAGTAGTACCTACTTACGTAATACGTATTCTTCCATTTTTAAAGTGACCATCCCACCTTAACATTAGTTTTGAGTTGAGATAGCCAAATTGGTGGCCATGGCCTTCAGTACCGGTTTGGGCACTCACAACAACATCGAAAAATGCTTTAATTCGGAGATATGGAATTTCAAACTTGCAGTTTTCGGATTCTAAGGGGCTACTGCACCGGAACGCCCCCTTAGACTTATTGATGTCAGCGGAGATCTAATGATTTTAGGTTTAGGTTTAGGTTTAGGTTTATGTAGTGGGTTAGGTTTAGACACAGTCTATTCAGGACCCACATCATACTGGTTTGGGACAAGATGACAGGTCAGGGTGCAGCAGCCCGATGTCGGTCCAGCAGATTTTTGAAGTGGTTTGTAGATGTTGCAGCCACAACCTCCTCTGGTAAACTGTTCCAGGCAGTAACCACTCTGTTTGCAAAGAATTTGGCCCGTGCTTGACTGCTGCATCTTCTTTTTGCGAGCTTTAGGTGGTGCCCCCTTGTCCTGTCATCAAAGTTCCTCTCGAAAAACTGGTTTGGATCGACAGCGAGTTTACCTGTTAGGATCTTGTAAGCTTCTATCAAATCACCCCTGCTGTGTGTTTTTTTTATTTTTTTGTTTTATATTTTAAATGTGTTACTAAAACGTTTGGTAGCACGTTGCGGTATATGCTGTTTTAAGTGCAACAAGTGCCGCACTTTCAAATAGTTGCTAGGAACAGCAGAGATTCCAAAAAGTAAACAAAAGTAAAAGCCTAATATCTTGAAATCCAGTGAATATTTTTCAGTGAAATTTGGTACATATTCTTTTTTGATCTTTCCGAACCAAGGGACATCACTTCTATGCCAATTCATTAACTTTTTTGAAGGTGGGAGGGTCCCTTTATTGCGCTAAAACCAGATATGATGACAAGGTAGGTGTCTCCAAAATATTAAAAAAGAAACATAACCAGACCTTACCTAACCTCAAACTTGATGCAATGATTTTGTCTAGGCATCCATGGGTAAGGAAGAAGCTTCAACATTGGGAAATGGAAAGTACCATCATGTAGGTCGCCACGAGACAATTCTAATAGTATTTACCCAGTTTTAACCTTTGCCCCAGTGGGGGTGGGGGTGGGGGGGCATTTGTTACCACCCTGTCCAGTTTTTTGCGTGTGAATAAAAACTGGTGTGAAGCACCTCACCGCTTGGAGTAGCTTGTAGTTCATCATTTTTTGACAACATGGAATTTTTGACCCCAGGTTGAGGTCATGTCAGCCTGCCAGGTCAGGAGGAACAATAAAAATATTTCAGAATCACAATGATTTGGACTACTTCTGACAACAAAGATGTCTTTGGCTGCTAGCCTGCCCTCTAGAAAGGTCATCAGAGATCATTTGAGGCTACAAACAGTTTTTCATATAAAGCCAGGATCTAAATGCTAGGTATAGGAGCACCTCCATTATTTTCCTGCTGCATTCTTGTTGGCAAACCATGTCATTGTCATTATTGAGAGATGTTTGATGGGTATTAATTCCATAAGGAATATTCAATTATTGGTGGTGATAACTCTGCAACTTTGTATTTTTTTGCTACATAATTTCTCCGTTTTGTGCTTTCATCTAGTCAACTCAATGTGAACTGATGTTGGACCCCATTCCAGATCCATCAGTGTCTGAACTACTGCCGCTCATGCGGGCTGCATCAATGTCACCAAAAGGACCAAAGTGGTCTCTGGAGGGCTCCGCTGACAGCGACGGGGAATGGGGTCCGTCACAGAGTGTGAGGAAGTCTCAGAGGCCGAGGAGCTGCACTCCCATAGATAGTGGCTCTGAGAGCGACTTTCGGCCAGTTGTGAAGGAGGAGATAAAGATTGAAGTCACTTCACCAAGGGTAAGTGTTCAAATGCATGGTGCTCACCTCTCATTGGTTTTTAGCTGCGAGGTTAATAAAAGGGAATGACAGCGCATAATGTGTTCCAATTTGTATATCTGTGGAGGATAAACATCTCATGTTTCATTGAATATTGTTCGTCTGTTGATCCGGTCTAGGTTGAGCGGCCGTCGTCTCCCTCGGTGTCGGACGACGATCCTTTCTCGGACCGCGCTCTGCATTCTTTAGTGAAGGAGGAAAAGTACCGACCTCGATCACCGTCACCGTCTGAGGACTTCATCGGGTTCACTGAGGTGGACCGGGACAGGTTAGGGCATGATTCAGTGCTGTTGTTGAAATTTTAGTTGTTATTTGACATAGTAGACAATGATATATTATCCTTGATGAATTATAATAATATTTGCATTTGTCTGTTCTTTCAGTGCCTGTTTCATCTCCAATGCAAAAAGGAGTCTGTTACTTGGTTGTTCGTCTGCCATTCGAGACTCTACTGAAGGTAAGTTTATATATGTGAAGAGACTGTAAGCAATGGGTTTATCGTGATATCCTCGGTCTTACTTTTGTGCCCTTTTCAGAGAAAACGTAAGTTTTATTTTTATTTTTGGTTTCGTACTCTACAAAGTGATTGAATGGCATTATCGAACCATTCTTATGTTCAATCGCATGCACTCTATTGAACTGACGCGTTACCGAAATGCCACCGAATTATTGATAACCCTGTTGAATTTATTGCAGTTTTTGCTGATACAGTGTTCATCAAGAGTCAACGTCTCGTCATTAACTACCGAGATGTGGACGGTCTCGATGATAGTAACATATGTGAGTATTCTCCCGATTTTAGTCAGCTACCTTGTCCTCATCAACGGACGAATGTACACGATAAGCACTCATATTGTAGACAAATTAAACCGAATACAGACGCATTGTTTCCTTCCAATGGAACCTTGAACAATTAAACCTTGGTCTGCTCTTCATCAAATGGCTAATAATTTTTCGCCCTTCTTTCTGACAGTTTGTGACGTGTGCTGCCGCGATTGGGACGGTGAATGTCCCGTCCATGGACCGCTAAAGATCATACACGATACCAAGGTAAGGACTGGTCCATACTGGTCTGATTCGTATTCTTTACACATGACTCCTCTCACATTTAGACATTAAATAATATGACCAATTGTGCCTGATGCCCTAGTGACGGAACGACATGAGCTTCATGTAAAAATGATGTATTTCTTTCACATTTACGTAATCCTCTTCCTCATAGTCTTCCTCATCACGCTTGGGTTCGTTTTCTGAACACCAAGGACAGTAATGATTACGAAAGTTATGTCAAGGCAAGAAATGAAGCTACCCACGCGACCAGGAAAACAAGGCGGGAATTCGAGTCGAAGCTGGCTAAAGAAGTCAAAGGAAATCACAAAGTGTTTTGGAACTACGTCAACCGTCGCAGGAAATCAAAATGTGGTATCTCGGACTTGCGTAGTGCTAATGGTGAACTGGCAACTAACGACAAGCACAAGGCTGATATATTGAATCATCAGTACGCAAGCGTTTTCACAAAGGAAGACAAGTCATCGATCCCAACGCTAGCTCCAAAGCCTTTGGAGGCAGAGATGCAAGTTGCGATAACTGTTCAGCGAGTCCATGCCAAGCTGAAAACACTGAAGATTGATAAATCGCCAGGCCCCGACAACATGCACCCTCGTGTTTTGCACGAACTTGCTGACTAACTTGCGACACCCATCACATCTCTGTTCTGTAAAAGTATTGAAACTGGAGAAGTTCCACGGCAGTGGAAGGTGGCCACCGTCACGCCAATCTTTAACCCTCGCCCCGTTGGGGGGGGCATTTTGGCCCCCCCCTGTGGTTTTTCCTGAATAGGAAGAAAACGGCGGCGCGCAGCGCCGCCAAATTCTCAGTACCTTTCCGGGCATCAATTTGACACCTTCACACCAAATTTCAAGTCTTAGGTCACCTTAGGTCAGGAGTTATTGAGGTCAAACTGAGGTCATGTTCGAGCAAAAATGAGCAAAAAACATGCAATCTTGAAACGCTCACCAAATCTACAGTTATCAAGCAATTTCAAAGTTCTTTATATGGTCTAATAGACAAAAAGCGGCGCTACAAAACTGCTATCTCGGATTTTCAAAATTTTGGGTTTTTTACCCAAAAAATTTCAAAAAATTGATTTTTTTAGAAAAACTAAAAAAAAAAATCCAAAATTTTTCCGAATTTCGAAAAAACCGGCATACATGTGATAGTCCCTGCGCTCTTCTATATACATACCAAATTTCAGATCGATATCTCGTTTTTTGGCCAAGTTATAGCGAAAAAACTTCAAAAATGATGACGTCAAATTTTTGAACTCAATTTTTAGCGATTCTAGACCTCGTACGGCAAAACAAAGACCACCATTGAACTCCCCGTGACGAGCTGCATCGATTCGATACCCATTTTATGCAAAAATATCAACTTTGAAATTTGACCTTATTTGACCTGACCTTGACCTGACCTTGACCTGACCTTGACCTGACCTTGACCAAAACGTGACCTAAGCTGGCCCCAAAGGCTGCCTGACCCACATAATCGCATTTGTCATGTAAAATGGACCATAAAACATGTATCACACGACACTTTCATATTGTGACCCCCCAGTGACCTGACCTCAGTGACCTGACCTGGTATCAGTGACCTCAACTAGCAGAATATGTGTTTGAAGAACATTTCCCCATCGATGATTTTCAATGAAATGCATTTTACTCGATTTTACAACGCATTTCTTGAAATGTTTGTAAACGGTGAAAATTGGACCTTTGACCTGACCTGTGACGTCATCGGTTTGACCTAGGTCAATAAAATTGGGTCACAAGGTAGTTCTCTGATAGGGCTATCCAACACCGTTTGCCGCTTGTCGCTACGTTGCGTGGTTCTCGAGATCTTAGGGGGGGGGGGGCAAAATGGCCCCCCCCAACGGGGCGCGTTGCTCGGCAGAGCCCAACGGGGCGCGGGTTAAAAAAGGCGACAAAAGTGATCCCGCGAACTACCGACCAGTGTCACTGACATCAATATTATGCAAGATTCTGGAGAGGATCATATGCGAGGACATCATCGCTCATCTGAAGACAAACAATCTTATCGCTCGCCAACAACATGGTTTCATCACAGGGAAATCTACAGTCACAAACCTACTGGAAGCTCTTGATATTTGGACGGAAGCGCTAAGCCACAGCTTACCAGTGGATGTTGTGTTTCTGGACTATGCCAAAGCGTTCGACACTGTGCCCCATGAACGGCTTCTAGCCCAGGTCCAGGCTCTAGGGGTGAATGCAAAGACTCATCAGTGGATAAGGAGTTTTCTAACAGGCAGGCGGCAAAGAGTGAACGTCAATGGATCACTCTCAGACTGGGAGTTTGTAACAAGTGGAGTGCCGCAAGGCTCAGTGCTCGGGCCTCTCTTGTTTTCCATGTTTGTCTGTGATGTTCCCGATCTATTAAATTGTCATATCTCTATGTTTGCGGACGATACCAAGGTCTACCAAGTCATCAACGAGCGCGATGGTGAACTTCACAATCTGCAAGAGGACATCAACTCTTTGCAAGATTGGGCAAAAACAATGCAGATGATCTTTCATCCACTCAAGTGCAAGGTCATGCATCTAGGACCAACAAATCCTGGAAGTGAGTATACCATGACAACTATGGGTGGAGGCAAACATACCCTTGAAGCAGTCTGTGAGGAAAAGGACCTGGGAGTCACTATAGACATGAAGCTATCCTTCTCAAAACATGTCACTAACCAGATTAACAAGGCCAATAGAATTCTTGGTGCAATCAAGCATACCTTTGCAAACATTGACAGCGACATTTTCAAAGCCTTGTACAAAAGCATTGTCAGGCCCCACCTCGAGTATGCAACTGTTATATGGAGTCCCAAGTTCAAAAAGGACAAAGATGCACTCGAACAGGTGCAGCGGCGGGCAACAAGGCTGGTGAACGGACTGTCTCACCTTTCATATTCAGATCGCCTCAGGAGCCTTAATTTACCTACTCTGGAATTCCGACGGAAACGGTCGGACATCATCGAGACCTTCAAAATTTTGAAAGGCTTCGACAAGGTGGACTTCCAAAGAGAGTGCCCGTGTTGTCACAACAGCATGTTCAAGAACTCTCTCAGCCGTGTCACCCGAGGTCACGATCAAAAACTTCAAGTTCAGCATCAATTGGGACCCAGAAAAGCCTTCTTTGCGGCACGAGTAACTCAGACATGGAACAAGCTGTCAACCCACACCATCGATGCTCCAAATGTCGATGTGTTCAAGTACAGACTGGGGAAGGAATGGAAGGACCACCCTGAAAAGTTCAACTACAAGTTCTCATACTAATGATCATCGTGGCCATCAATGTATGGCCTCACCTAGCATGGCAGCCTACTCGTCTTCGTCAGAAGAAGAGGAGGCATCTCTTGAGTAAAGGGTCTGATTACTCGAAACGGTACCTAATGACCTTTACTTAAGGTAAATACTTAAGGTAAATAGTTTTATTATTGCTTTGCTACTGTCTTGTTAGCAGGTAATACTGTCATGGGTACGTGGTCAAGAACAGGTTCATGATCTATATCCACAAAACATACCCGTCTGATTTACAAACAGGCGTAAGAGTTAAGATATCCTCAATGCGTGGATTGTATTGTCGACATTGTGCCCCACATGCGCTGAACATTCCAGGCACGACCCGGTATCGGAGATGTCGACAGGGACGTCAAGACTCTCCCGCCTTCTCTCAGCTCTGGTCAGTCGACAAATCCAGCGTCTGGCACCGGTAAGTTAATGAGGCAAGACAGATGGCGATACGTAACAACTGCTGCTGGACGTTTGATGCATCATTTGGTGATGGTTGCTTGTATTGTATAATTTCATGTCCCATGCATCAGTACATGTTGTGTCCATTTAGTTGAGGTGAAGGCTTGTATTTATTTGATTCCAGGAGTTTTGGCGGAGAAGGACATACCTGCGCGCCAAAGACTCGGTCCTTACGAGGGCACCTTGACCACCGAGCAGGGTCAGGCCCGAAGTCGAACAACCGGGTACAGATGGCAGGTCAGTTCAGTTGTTTTGTTTTGCAGGTAAAAAACTCAAATTTTCACTATAGACATACTTCAACGATAAAAGCTATTAAAAAAAAAATTAAGACCAATGATAGCAACATATAAATTTTATAATGTTTTCATTGCACATGCCATATTTTTACTTTGTTCTTTGAATTGATGAACTATGTTTTTTTTTTTTTGGTACCACAGATCAAGAAGGGTAAGCGCGTGCATCACTCGGTGAATGCCGAAGACCCGAGCTGCAGCAACTGGCTCAGAAGGGTCAACTGTGCCCGCTCGGAGGAAGAACAAAACCTAGTGGCCTTCCAGTACCGGGGCCAGGTATACTTCAGGTGCGTTGTAGTCTTGGAATCCACGGATCTATTCTTCCTAACTGCGTTACGTATTTTATGCGCGGTTCGTCCTGTGGCCCATATTTTTCTTTAATGGATTCGTCGAAGTTATTAATGACTGTGTAAGTGTTGTGACTACACTAATCAAGCTTTCATCAATAATGCTATATTTATCTCCCTATGCAGGACGTCAAAGCCCGTTCCGCGGGGCTCTGAGCTGCTGGTGTACTACGGAGACGACTCGGCCCGGGAACTGACCGTCCACTCGGAGACGTCTGAGGAGTCTGTGACTTCCTCTCCGGCCGGACCTTCATCTTCAGGTCAGTTCATCGTTTGCGGCTCCGAGGGTTATGGTGTCCATCGAAGTGACGCTGTTAATGCCATTTACCCTTCTGCCGACAGTAGACTGTGCTCTTGTCCGGTTCGTTGAGAAGTTCTGCTACTTTGATGTATGCAGGCATGACGTTTATTTACCAAATTACATGGGCTCGGTTCGTAACTTGAACTGGTATTTCGGCTTGCGACCTAACCGGGTTAGGTCGTTCTATTGCGACCTGCTTTAGCATGGAACGTTTTTTTTTTAAATGGCCTTTTTTCTTTCTGTGTATTCTTCAGGCATCAGTGGCTCGGTCCAATGTCCCCAATACGGCTTCAGATGTTTGGGAAAACATTGTCTGGACGGACACGTGAAGAGAAGTCGCGACCATATGGGCAGGAACGGCAGATTGAAGTGCGAGTGGTGTCAATACTTGACAGTGTAAAATTTTTCCGGTATTAGCCTGGAAAATCACAGTTAATGACATCTGCTAATTTTTCATCCTGGCTCATAATTTTCATCTTTCAACACAAATGCACCAAATCCGTATTCAAATCGGTTAAAATGTCCCAAAATAATGTTATAAGGTTAAAAACTGCACCTTTTTTTATAAATTTAGCTCGAATGTTTGAATGGACGGATTGACAGAGCCGAAGCCTACGCTAAGCAGAGCTTGTTGCGTAGACCCCGACCCCTACCGTCCGATCGCGCAATTCCGGGTAACGGGAGAATTTAGATGTCAAAGTTAAACGTGCCCTTCAAAGCCGGACACGGCCTGTCCCACTCAACTGACTTCAACTGGCTGCGGCTGCTCCCACCAACCGCAGACCATCCCCGTCAGGAGTTTCAAATATCGAGCGCCGGAGCGACTCGAACCCGGGCTCTCACTACCGGGAGTCCAGCGCTCTACCAACTGAGTTATGGGACAGGCTGAAAACCACAAAAAACATACATGATAAATTATACGCACCTTCCTTTCCAATCAGCAATGATAGTAATGACACATGGAAATATCTCAGCACAGTGTATGTATCATGCGCTTCGTGATTGCCTCGATTAAAAAAGAAACAGAACAATAAAAAGGTGTAGGTAAGTGCAGATAAATACACTCGATAATACAATATTATCAATCAAATAATGTTTAAAAATTAAAATTAAATTAATTTATTGCTTTTGTATAAATATTCCCTGAAGAATTGCATTAAACTAGTTCTACAACTGAATGATGAAATTAGGATGAAAAAGCATTAAAAAGGCCAGTCTGAGGATGAAATTTTCCAGGTAACCGCGGGGATCTCTCACGCCTTCATGAAGTTTCCAAATCATCTGCTGTTTGGATTAGCATGTTAAATGGATCGTTCTCCATGTTTGCTGAAGATATAATCGAAAAATATTGAATATTAGGGAAATTATAGCTGTTTTCTTACAGAGTGTCCGAGGATGAAAAATTCTTCGATTTTTAGTCACCAGTCGAGAATGCTTGTAGGGAGTCTAGTCAATATTTGTATGACTGTAATGCATTTTTTAGAAGATAAGACACTGGACTTCGTTATAAGATACATACAAACTCTTAGATTGCTGTTGATATAAAAATATTGCCTTTCGAAAATGAACAAAAATTTCATCCTCGGACTGGTGTCCAGGCTGCAACATGGACGCAAGCTATCTCATGATTTGATGAAAGATATAGCAAATACTAATACTAAATACTCGTATGTGACAGCCTCGATCATTTTTGAACTGTGTGGTGCAAGTTTCTTCCGATTTGATGCCATGCAGGCTGGGTAATGTCTCGAGGGAAATTGCACCTCTTACGGTGTCCTGGGCCGGGTTCGGTTTAATGCAACGCAATTATTTAGTAGCCGCATTTGCTGGCGCCAGCGTGACAAACTACGGCGCAAACAACGCGTCGCGTGCCTTCCGTTTTCAGAGAGGGTAATGATCAGGATATATATAAGCAACGTAATGATAATGCGTCGCTGGGTAGCTCTCTGAAACCTGGTAGGTATTTTTATTTTCAGAATTATTTTAATTTTACATTGTGAAGAATTTTTTCACCTTCAACTCGAGCACTATCCTCTCTGATCAGAGAAGATGGTGCTGATTGTTGCCCATAACTTGTGAATAATGACCATAGGTCCATACTGATACGATGAAATTTTAGCCCATTTGCTTATATTTTCAACGGAAAATGGTTGCCGCCATGTACGTTTTTTATAACGATGTTTTTATGCCATCCATCATTGTGAGCTGGATAATGGTTCACACCATTTACACCGTGACGTAATTCACGTTGTCATTCTTTTCATCATAGCACCCGTTAGTGTAAAAATCATCATTGCATGTTAAGATCGGTCAATTTTTTCATCACTGACTGGTAAAAAACAAAACTTTTTTCATCTGCACAGGTAACGGTGAAGTAAAAATTTTACACTGATACTCGACCGACAGGTCCGACTGTATGAAAGACCACCGCAGAACTCACACAGGGGAACGGCCATACGGCTGCTCCATCTGCAAGTCACGGTTCTCTAGGCGGTCAAACCTCATCAAACACATGCGGACCCACACGGGAGAGCGGCCATACGGCTGCTCTATCTGTACGGCACGGTTCTCTGTTCGAGCAAGCCTAAACAACCACATGCGGATTCACACTAGGGAGCGGCCATACGGCTGCTCCATCTGCACGGTACGGTTCGCTGAACGGGGACACCTCAAGGCACACATGCGGACCCACACTGGTGAGCGGCCGTACGGCTGCTCCATCTGCAAGGCACGGTTTACTCAAGGGGCAAATCTCACCTCACACATGCGTACCCATACGGGGGAGCGGCCGTACGGCTGCTCACACTGCCAGGCCCGGTTCACTAACCGGTCACACCTTAACCCTATTAGTGGCAGGGGGGGGTTGTTTTTATCCACCCCTCAGGTTTTTCGGCAATATCTCCGAAACCGCTGAAGCTACGATGCTGAAATTTTCTGACTTTTCCTAAAACTAAATTGGGCACATTCCCTGAAAATTTCAAGTTCATAACTTTACCAGGGGCGGCTCCAGAGCACTGGGAATTGGGGGGTCCTATTCGTGAAGCGAGTCATTTGGGCGAAGATCACGATGCTGCACCAGTTTTACGAACAGTGAATAAAAGGTATCATGTGATAACTTATACAGTTATTGTGCATCCTATTTTGACACCTTTTTGCTATAATAGGCGGATCCAGGCGTCCAAAAAGGGGGGTTATGTTTTACCTCCCAACATAGGTGCCCTGACACCGCCTATGCATTACCAATACAATTTTAGTCGTTCTCTCATAAGAAAATTATAACATAACAAGACCATTACCACCCTTTTTAGAAACAGTACCAACAAAAACCTTATTTACTATACTTTTTGTGTACCCCCAATCTCAATGATCTGTATCCGCCTATGATTTTTGAAAATGCATATTTTTAGGATCCATGTGAATTCCTGGTTCATTCTCTATCGATCGGCAAAAGTTGCGTTAAGATTGATTCAGAAACCTGGCCGTGATAAACAGTCTAAAATGTATCTGCAATTTGCCCGTTTTTACCCCCCCTCTACCCCCCCTATTGACATTTTTTAATTTTTATTTTTTAGAAATGTAGATCACGTTGAGCGAAATCGAATGCCAGTTGAATTTTGAAAATCGGCCCGTTAGATCTCGAGATATCAAGGGGGGGTCGTAAACAGCCCCCCCTGCCACTAATAGGGGGTAGCCAGGAGCCTGCCACTAATAGGGTTAACGAACACATGCGGACCCACACGGGGGAGCGGCTGCACGGCTGCTACATCTGCAAGGCACGGTTCACTAACCGGTCACACCTTAGCGAACACATGCGGACTCACACTGGGGAGCGGCCATACGGCTGCTCACACTGCCAGGCCCGGTTCGCTAACCGGTCACACCTCACCGGACACATGCGCATCCACACTGGGGAGAGGCCGTACGGCTGCTCCATCTGCCCCGCACGGTTCACTGCTCGATCAAGTCTTATCAAACACATGCGCACCCACACGGGGGAGAGGCCGTACGGCTGCTCACACTGCCAGGCTCGGTTTGATCAACGGGCAAAGCTTATCAGACACATGCGGACCCACGCGAAGAGCGGCCGCACGGCTGCCATTACTGTCTAACGGTTCAGCAGTTTGACGCAAAAACTCGATTTTAACTGGTACACAGTTTTGCTAATTACACAGGTTTGACTGATGCGGTAAATGGCTTGATTGGCGAAATGCAATGCTGAAATATGCCGACAAGTGCACGACCGGCTGCCGTCATACGTTTGATATATTAGTGTTATACATCTTTTTACGCCCAATTTAGGGCGGCAGTGCGCACATTTCAGTAATAGTGCGGGCGATTCCGACAGTATGCCATAGTCTGGGCGATTTGTCGCAATCGGTTGCACTATTACTGAGCTGCGTGCACTATGTCTATATTTAGCCGTAAAAAGGTGTAGCTGTGGTTCTCGTTTGTGAGCTTCTTGGCTACCCGTGTGAGTGTCACATCTTGTTTCTTTATGTCAACACACGGTGATTCAGTAGTTGTGTTCTAAACTATGCGCCTCCACATAGGAGTTCACCCGCGTCCCACTGCACAGTGGGGATTTTTCCGATCTAGCGCCTATTAATTCAAAAAAATATTTTTTGGATTTTGGTTTATTTTTTGTGTCAGTAGGGCTAAGAAATGTCTGAATTTTTCATATATGGCATTGTTTTATCTGTATGTCCACAGCAAAACTAGGAAAAATGCGCCCAAAGTTCACACTCATGCGTGATTACTCAATGGGCTCAGCAAGGCCCGAAAGTATAGCTCAATTTCATTGTCCTGTCCTGTTGGTTTTAATCTTGCGAGGTCTTAAAGTTGCATATCGTCTGAAAGGCACCTTTATTAGGAATGGAATGGCAAACAGAAAGTATGCCACAGCCTTACTAAGGTCACAAAAATGCCCTTTACAAAAAACCTTACAGACACCATATTCAA